AAGCCATACGCAATCACCAAAAGAGCCATATATGGCTCGCGAGCTATAGGTTGCCGACCCCGGGGCTAAGGGCTCGTTGTGCTGTTGTTTGCCATCGGGTAATCTGAACAATGATAGAAGAGCGCTCCAAGATCGGGCGGCGAAACCCACTCACCCAACATTCTAACTGTTAGACCACGGACTTCTTGTCCTGTCGGTTGCGACCAGGTATATGAAAAAAGGTAGGAGAGGGGAGGGGCGATCAACCATCGCGTTGTGGAAACTACTCGTTATGGTGTGCCGTGAGCTCAGTGTAGAGTCCTTGCGGCCAGTTGCCATTGCTCCCAGGACTATGTGCGTGTTCTGACGGCGACAAAAGTCGGCCCGTTAGCCGTTTTCAGGCAACCATACCAAACCCAGGTTAGACGATACCCTTTTCGGAATTCACCTTAGCATAAATTCCTGGCTTCTATATAACTATCTGGGAGTCCTAAGACACAACTTGAAGCGTACGTCCGGTAACGCGATCGACAGATGCCCCTCTACAATTGATAATACACTCGATCACAACCGACAAGAGGAACCCGAGGCTTATTGGTTAGGGCGTTAGGCTTCCAACTCACAGGTCACGAGTTCAGGAGTTACAAAACCTTCGGTCGGGTACTATCGAGAAACCCGCACATGTACTCCGCAAATATATTTGTTATTGCATGACGCAACTGGGAGAGACTGAGCTCCTTACTCAATTTCTTTGTAGTTTAGGATGTATGAATCTTAAACAGATGAGGCTAGAGGTGAAGGAGACAATGAGTCCAACGGCTCGGTGCAACTTGCTCAGTATAATCAAAAAAGCTTAGTTAGCACGGTGTGCTGAAGGTCTAACTTGGACGGTTGCTAACTGCAGGGGATAACTCGAACCCTGCGTGTTGTGTGGGGTGGCTGATTGAAATTCAGACTGCTATGGCTTCTTCTTAATGTGATCTTGATGTTACTTCCATTCAGGTGGGAACCGAGCCAGGTTTGGCAGCGCGCTTGGGGGCGGCTCCAACCACGCTTTTCACCTGCGCCCTCTCCCGTCTTTGGTCTTCTTGACACCGAACTAGGTTGGGGGAGTGTAACAGAGATTGAGGTAGACGCAACGCAAATCGAATCCCACGATAATCCAGCGCAAGTCATCGTCCCTGCACCGCCTCACCGTGGAGCACACGGTAGACCTCGTTGAGACCGACGATCGATAATTCTTTAAAACATAAAGGATCCTATTGGGGTACTGACGCCCAAACGTCGTGTTTCGTAAACCTAATGTAATTCTTTAAAATGTCTAGTTTAACTTTCATATTTTTAGTTCATGTACCAGAAGCAACGAAAAACGTAACCTTCGTAGTTGAATTATTCAACAGCAGAAACTGGTAGAACACATTCCTGGGCTTCTGGTTGGTATCTACATACACCGGAAGCACGGTGAAGCCAAGGCTATTCGAAAGAACAATATTATCAGCACATTTTGCAAAACGGTCACAACGCGGTTATCCCGTGGGCGCTGATCATCTTCGGCTCAATTAATATTTACAGTTCCGGGGCTGATCCAACGAGTCGTACCCTGGATACTTAACTCTGATTTATCACCATACGAAATTACCAACTAAGTTCGTTTATTTAAGAAATCTAATGGATAAGTGTGCGCTCATTTCAGCACAAGTAAATCCCGAAGATGCAGCAGCACAGAATGCCAGATGGGGAACCACCGATGAAGCGCCTATGAGGCCTGATAATCCCTGTCTGTTAATATCTGCATTTGTCTTTCTAGTTCCAAACGGTGGTCCGGGTTATGACTGGATGAAGTCAGAATAAGTTCAAAGCAAATTTAAGCCTTCTCTCGCTCAATAGAAAGCAAATAGGGGTTAACGGGACCCTTAAATTGGCACGTAGTGTGATCCCCAAAAAGGATACTTCCGCAGGTCGCCGAAATCTCCCCATGCTCCAAGTTTGCCAAGACAGTACCGCCAGCCATTTTCGTATCATACAGCTCGTTAAGATTTGCCCACGCTTCCGGGGTTTGGCAATATTCCACAAGCCTCATTATGTTGAAAGTGACTAGGTTGAATTGACCAAAGTTCTACTGCACTTTGCGATGCGCGCCACTTTAAAGTACACGCATATTTTCCCAGTCAAGACCTCCCTGTCAATTGTGCGCCGTGACAGCCCGCCGATGCCCGGGCTTCCCGAACGCAGCCAAGAAACCTATATCTGTAGTCCACGAGTAACTTTTGTTTGCAATTAGGACACAAAGTGGATCACAACCCATTTTAGCAAGCGAAAGGCACTCAGATTGTCACATGCAGTAACCATAAGGATAGAGAATTCTCAGAAGAGTCCTGTCCACAGGAAAATTCTAGGCTACGCTCAATTCAAAGCGGCTTTTGAAAAATGACGAACAACTTACATAAGGCATCTTTTCAGTGTGTGTGTGTGCGCAGACCTCTGCAACAACTACCAAGACCACATAATCTTAGTGCAAAGTAGGCATAAATAAAGCGCCTCGTACAAAAACAAAATTTCACATCAACCTAAAATGGGGGAGGCAATTTACAGTGAAGAAGATCGAGCAAAAAGGGGGCACACATTGGCGCAAAGCTGGCGGTCATGGCTTGGTTGGTAGGCACGAGAAAGTGACCGGGAAGTGGAGATATACCGGGTGGGATGCTGAGATTGTCGTCTCACTTCACGGCCACGCAGGCCAGTTTTGCTGCTTCCTCCATGCCGGTAGCCACCTTGATGTTGTGACCATAGGCCTCGAGGACACCACGCCCTTCTACAGCATTGGTGCCCTCCAGACGAACAACAATAGGCACCTTGGGCGCCTCCGCCTTACAGGCCTCAACAATGCCCTGAGCGACCATTTTGCAGTTGACGATTCCACCGAAGATGTTGATGAGGATGCAGCGAATGCGCTTATCAGCTAGCGCACATCAGTAGAGTCATAGAAATGGCAGAAGAGAAAAGTCAGACTAATTGGCAGATGCGAACTTGGTGAAAATCGAAGTTGATGGATTACCAGCGAAGTAAAGCTCTATTAATAGTAATAGCAGTAGAAATGCGATTCGAAAGTGGTAAGTCAGAAAAGGCAAGGGTAGCCGCCGGTAGAGGTTCTTTTCGATGTCTGACGTTTTGGATGTTTGGTTCGTCCGCCCATCCATCTTCAGACTGAAAATTTCGGCTTGCGGCCCTCGTTGTATGCCGCTTTCTTTCATCTGCGTAGCCTGCCAATACCGGCTGAGCCAACTGTTGAACGAACCGCCAGATAAACTTGGCTACCTCCTATTTGGTTTAACAAACCTTATCAGGAACAGTCGCGGCGTGGAACAACTGGGGCCGTCAACTATCTCTGCGGCCAACGTGTACGGACGTCAACCAAGCCAGGTTAAGATGCCACAAAACAGGCGGTCAATGTGCTCGGGGGTGAAACAAGCACTGGTGACATGGCGGCAGAAGCTGCACAATGTGCGGTCAAAGGGGAGACCGGCCAAAGGAACACAGGAGATATTGAAGTATTGGCAGGCTAGGCACACGAAAAAAGCGGCACACAACGAAGGCCGTCATTATTCAACAATAAATAAGCTCGACTCCAAATGCCGCTAGAAAATATGTACACAGTTGGTAGCAAACCGTATTTTCAAATTTTATACTCGAAGAAAGGATGGATTTCGATTGTCAAAAATGCATTAAAGTGCCAAAATAATTTGGAACTCGACCTGCCGCAGTCTTCGAAACTACAAGCTACAGACCTTGCGCACACAGAAAACCATGTGCTGTTCTATGCACATGTGAAGACATGCCTTGCAATTAGAATAGTACAAGAATGGATAACTCGTACAAGCTTTCTATGACAACATCGAAGACACAATGGAAGATCGATACTAAATAAGTCGTCAGTTTACGGAGCCCGGCATTTGTAGGCAGGTGGAAGAATTTGTTTTAAAAGCTAGCATCCTGTCGGAGCCAAAATATTTGATTACTAAACAGCAACCAGCCGAAGTAATCCCTTCTAAGCACAAACACATCAAAATTTCGACTAAAATTTCGTGAGATACGCCACCTACAGTACGTCTGGTTCTTTGCTGTCACTGTACACTCAGTCATCAGACAAAGAAAAACAGAAACTTCCTGCTTCCTATTTCCAGCCATTTTAAAGACGAGGGCGATAATTCTTCGTCAGCCACCAATCTTTGACCATTTTTACAAAAAAATGGAGAAAGTGAGTATGAGCTACACGGAGCAGGGAGACATAATAAATGGGGCAACAACAAAATTTCACAGAAACGATTATGGTAACGCGTCTATATTGATCAGGATAAATGTATAGTTACACAGCCCGGCAAACTGTTTCCCAAAGTGCATTCTTTTTGGGTGAAATAGTCATGTCTGTCCAATGACTGCACTCCTAGTCGCAAGGATTAGGATGTAGCTAAATGACAGGATGCACTCACCTGTGAGGGTTTTGATGGCAAAAGCCACGTCAGACTGATTGGCCCGACCACCAAGGTCAAGGAAGTTAGCTGGCCGGCCACTAAAGAGACTCAAAAGATCGAGAGTGGCCATCGCAAGACCCGCCCCATTGACCATACAGCCGATGTTACCGCTGGGCAAGCCAATGTAGGTGAGTCCGTGGTTTTCGGCTGCAAACTCGAGAGCAGGGATGGAATTGGGGCCGGCGGCCTCCACCTCCATTCTTCGAGACTCAGCAGCGAGGGCCGCTACTCGGGGCTGACGGTAGATGGCATTGCTATCGAAGACAAACTTGGCATCCAGGCTAATCACCTTGCCTTCTACAGTCTCACCCAGAGGGTTCACCTCGACCTGTACAACAAAAAAGTGCAGTGGCTTAACAACAGACAGGACTGAGGGTGCAACTTCTTAAAAATAAGGGCAGACAGGGGATGGACAGCTAACCATGTTGGCTTTGTGTTGACTTTTGCAGTGTGCTCGAAGACAAGCGCGGATCGCTTAGTCATTGCAAGCGATGAGGCCTATGGCGTATGTAAGCAGTACATTGGCGTGTACATTGGCAGTACATTACGGTGAGCCAGGCTGACGCAACCTCCAAATTACTCACTCTTCCCTCATCTGCCAGACTCCGATGGCTAAACAACGTCCAGACGAACGGAGGTGGATTGGGGCACTATGACCGAAAAAGCTAAACGGCCCACACCCGCGACACACGACCTGGTTTTTACAAGAGGACTGATCTAACCAACAAACATTCCTGAGATGAGATCGATTAGGTTTTGATCTCTGTATTCGGAGTACCGGGCCCTATCTTCTGTCTTTCGGAGATGGAGGCTTACTGGTCCACATGGGAGGCTATATATAGCTCCAGATTGCAAAGACAGATCCAGGGTGGAGAGCGCAAGTTGCTGTTATTTCGGTCAAGATTACTGCGGCATTTCGTAGAAACAAGAATAGATCCAGTGCACTGTGGTGCGTTAAACGCCTATTCTGGAAGTACGGTTTCAAGACACATTAAGATCGACGACGGAATTGTAAGTTGGATCTTCAGAGCTAACAAGATTTGGGTCAGCTGTCGGACTCGATTTGGGATCAGCGAGGAGTTCGTCTGCGTGGAAAACTGAAGAGGTATCGAGTAACCACCTCCCGACAACGCTTCCATGTGTGGGAGAGGCTACGATAATCTAGCAAAGGAATTCAACTTGTTTCACCTCCGTTTCGTCCGGAGAATACTGGATCTGAGGTAGGAAGGCAAAAAATCCGACACGAAATTTCCGGAAAAAAAAAGAAACGAGCATCCTAGGTATCCAGGTTGTATTGAAGCAGATACAATTGCGATGGAGCGACCGCTGTTAGGATGAACCCTACTAACCTACTCGCTCTTAAGCTGCCTCAAGGCTCCGCGCACACGCCGTGCGCATGTTGAAGTCGCGCTAGCTCCCGACAGGATTGGAGATTTACCCATCCAGTCAGATGAGTCAGACATCCAGTTGACATGCTAACCACTCAAGGACACTGTCTGTATGGTCTAATTTCAGTCCGGCCTTGGAAATTCCAGTATTTTTTTACCATCTCATATACACTATTAGGATTTATTGGACGCGTTACCAACCAGATGTGCAGCAAGTTTAGAAAAGGACACTCCTACCGGCCTGCCTATCAGCACTATCGTCGCCCCTTTCACAAGCGCTGTCCACTCGGTTCGGACCTGCAACCACTGCGATAGAAACTTCAAATGAGGCATTCGCCTGGTCAGCTACCAAAGAATCTACTACGCCGGCGAACCAGTATCAGGAACCCCAACAGACACCAGTCACAATCGGCCAAACTGTCCCAGGACGCTCGGCCGTTGCACAGGCCTATTCGTTCATTTACACATCCACAAAAACCTTCAGCAAAACAACACACCCAAGACACGATCACCGCAAACTAACACAGCGATTATCTAAGCAAAATATTAACCTATTTCACAACACTAGCATACAGGAAATCCCACATAACACCCTGTCTACCTTATGCCAATATGGTGGGCGAGACGTTGCATGCCACTACATGTACATCTCGCGTACGCAGAAAGCATGACCTGTGGTGGAACCTAATATATCGTGTAGCCTGTGTAGATGCGATATGTGACGTTTTCAGTTAATCTGTCCAATCTCATTACCGGTTGTTTGACAGGCTCGGACAATTGGCTAGTGCTTGGTAGCGAATAGTAGAACCAGTGCTGGGGGAACTCAACCCCACGGCACGTTGGTGCATTCCTCACTATAATAAACCTAACGCACTTGAACCTACGGGCTGACAGTCGTAGTTTTGAAGGCTGCCAACTGATAGGATAACTGGCGTTTTCTCCGGACTAAGAGTCGGGCTGTAATGGCTCCCTTTCAATGTAGAACTCTCACCCAGGTGTGGTCTGCGTAATCCTTCAAGTAGTCTGACACATGTCGTGAGAACCAGTTCGTATGGACCGCACGCGTGGACTAGCTGTTTAACTTCGCCAACCCCTGCGTCCGCCCCCACTTCGGGTTTTCTAGACAGTGTTGCTCTAGGATTAATTTGAATGAGGGAAAAGTGTGGGGTAGATACTGCGCACGCCTGTTCTACTATCAAATTAATTTACGCGTCAATCACCAGTGCAGTGTTAATTTCACAGTTTCACTGCTTGACTTACAATGAATAAGGTTGAAAATTATAGCCTAAGCGGCAGTAAACTCTTGGTACCTGTTGTCAGTAAATAAGCTCAATGCGGAAAAGGACTAACCTGAAGACAGTCAAGATCAGTGAAGAGTTTGTACAGCCGGATAATTTGTTCGGCACAGGATTCGGACTGAGGGGTCCCTTGCTGAAATCCGAGGGCAGTGGCGATTTTGTTGGCCTTTTCTTCTGCAAAAGCAAAAAGGAGACTGAATAATTCGGGTGAGTTTCAGACAGGGAGAATCCAATATCGACTTCAATTTAGTAGAATCCTTCGGAAAGGATATGAAACAACAATACACAGAGGTGCCGAAAGACAATTCCTAAAAAATGTCCACCATCACCTTAATAAGCCACAAGATTATAAAAATCAGACAGTAACTCCATGTTGGACGAAGAGGCGAGTCGGAAGCCTACTGAAAATAAGGACAAGTGAAGTAGCTTGGTCATTTACAGATTCTATTCAGCTCCATATGCAAGCGCGATAGTCTTATCTTTACCCTCTTTTGTACAATTCAAAATCAGGGGACTTGTTACAAACGCCGGACATACTAGGCACTATAGTCAGTTTTAAATGACCCTAGTTTTAAATATGAAAATCGAATCTCTACAGATTATTGGAGAAATGCCATATACCTTCTGAAGACGTTTAATAAGATTTCAGTCAGGTTTCTGCACTACTTGCGAAAGACTCTATTCCACCTCATACGCCGAATAAAGTTTCTCCACGTGGAACGATGGAAGCATAAGTTAGTCTCTTATAAATACCCTACTGCGCTGGCGAGTTAATTTTATGCAAAACAAAGAAGAATACCTGGGAGACACGACCGGCGTTTTGTTTATAAATTAAATCAGGCTGATACGTTCTCAAATTTGAAGATTCTTAACCGCAGTGGACAGAACCTTAGTCTGCAACCAAACCGGTGACCGACCCAGTTTGGGGTGACGCTTGGTGCGGATGGCAAATCAGATCCAACTCCAACAAATAGACAGCTCAGCCAGACGCAGACAGCTATTTAACGATCATTATCAATCACCACCATGCCATAGGCCTCTCTTGTACCTTATGAAATGAGGTGTATAAGGATGTCAGAATGGCACATCCCCCTCACTGTCGTGATTGAAACCTTGCTCGATCCCAGTCTATTCACCCGGCAGCTTGCCAGTGGTAATAAAAAATATAGATACGTCATTGAGATACAAACAAGTCAGGCACAGACAGCTATTTCAAGGTCATTGTCTGTAGGACTGTCTGGTCTAGCTTTTCGGTTCTTTGTTGTTAGCACTTCGCGACAGGTAAGAAGGCGCAGATGTTTATTAGCCCTATAGAATAACGGTGTATTAAAGTGTTTTAGCTAGAAGGGTTTTGCTAGTGATGCAAACAAAAATGGAAGTCTCAGGAGTAAATTGAGAAGTAGACGCGATCGCTGGGACAAGGACTTTATTAGCCTAGCTCCTTGGACTCATGTTCGAACCCCTCAACAGAAGCAGCGTTAGATGTATGAAGTCGCAAACTTACCGCCTTCATCGAAGGTGATTAGCCTTTGGTGCAATAACTGCTTGACGGCCGGTACTGGAATCGTTAATAGCGGAAATTTCATCCCCAATGATGGATGTTGGCGTGATGATTGCCCTGCCATCGTGATTCACGGGTTGGCCAAAGTAATTAGGCGCTCGGAAACGCGCAGGTGAATGCGTTTTCCTAGGCCAGTCTCGGTGAGCCGGATGGCCGAGCAACTATCACGCCAAATTCCAACATGGATAATGAAATTTCAACAATTAATGACCCGAAAGACGACCAGCCGATTTTACCGGAGGGCAACCACCCTCCGGGAAGAGGGAAACCGTAAATTTTCATAGTTATGTGGTAGCACAGCGATCGCACCCTATAAATACTGCAAGCCTCTGTATGGAGTAGCCTTATCGGGTGCTGTCTATGACGATGGGTTCGAATGCGAAACCGAAAGGCCAGGTGAATAAAATTATTGTTCCCACGATCGCGTCTATTTCTCCTAAAATACAAGTAATGTAATTTTGTCCTAAAACGCATGCATAGAAAATTTCTTTAGGGGAAGGTACGCACAGAAAAGGGCCGCACTACAAAGGTGAAGACGCAAATAATAGAGCAAAAGCTAGCTTACTTGTGACGCCCTCATCAATATTTATTTTCTCCCTGTGAATAGAGGATGGACTTTTGCGGGCCAGTTCTTCAATGTTGACGCCTCCCTCGGAGCTCACTACTACAACTGGACATGTGGACTCACGATCGAGTAGAATGGCCAGATATCGTTCTCTCTTTAGATTCACGGCTTCAGCAATCATAACCTTTAGTAAAAAGGAAGGAACGGCAAGAAAAAGGCTGGGAACTTTATTGCTTCCTGGGCACGGGTATTCGTTTAGGCAAAAGGCATAAGTCGAGACTGCACTTAATAAGAAGATGCAGACAGGAATGTGGGTTTAAATCTTAGATTATCCTAGTCTGGAATTGAGTATGATTTACAGAAGACAGCTACTAAGCCAGAAGTGTTCATGACGGTCTATCTTGTTCGTTTCGATATCCCTTTTATGTATACAGATATATGCGTTAAGATTCGAGGTCCAGATATCTTACAGCGTTCATCAGTTTACGAAGAAGACGAAGAAAGAGGTTAAGTCTATGGATCGACTTGTGTTTGTACAGACGTTTCGGAATTTACAACTAGCATGTCTTTGTTGTTGTGAGACTAGTTCGACGAGTATCCAAAATGTCTGCAAGCCTATTTCGGTGCCCTTCGTCTTTTAAAAATACTCAAGTCGCCGGCAGTTTCTGAGAGCCTTAACATATCTGAAAGGTGTGTAGGGTCTAGGCACTGTTTGTACTCACAGCACTACAATCCTCAAGAAAAATGTTAGGTTGTAGGTAAAGGCGAGAAGACATCAGGCAGCATGGGACCACTAACAAAGTCAGGGTTATTGTTGACTGGGTCCAGCCATGCCTGAGAAAGGGGAGGGAATAATTCTGCAGTTGTCTGCCCAGAAGCTTCAATTTGAGTCCA